TTCCGATTCCTTCTTCTTGTAGCCCTAAAAACATATTCTTCCATCTCCACAATTATGGCTTGCAGATTGGTCACTGGTCTTTTGTGGGATGAAAGGGACCAGAGGGTACAACGTTTCTGTCCTGTCTTTGAGGAGCAGCTGCCTGAGAGATCACACAGCTTTACTTAGAGCTGTATGAATGGGAGAGGTTACACAGCACCAAAGACCTGCTCATTTGGATGACTTTGCAGAACACTTTTCTGCCTTTGAAAAAGTTATCTAGGAAGATCTGCAGACATTTGAGAAAGAACAAGGTTGATGGCTACAAACGGGCATGCTGGAATTTGGTGGAGCAATTGAAACTAGTCCATAAAATTGTTATCCTCTGTTTTACATATGGACAAGCTCAAAAAAACCCTTGTGAAGTCCTATTAAATTGGAGGGCCTGTGTGTAGGGCAGAGGCTGGAGAAAAATAGTTCTCAAGGATTTGTTGCACACTGTTCCTTGAATCCCATGGTAACCCTGAGCCCCACACCGTATTTTTGGATTTGCAGCACATTTTCTGAAGTACATCTCTTCAGACAGAGCATAGCTCAGGTACCTGAAGGATTTCCACTCTGATTCTGCATCTCTCTTCACCGGCGTATCAGGTACCGCTGGCACCCAACTGGCACACATGATGGGATCTCCATATTGGTGTCGTACATACGCAGTCTGCTGTACAGTCTAAGCAACCTAACTCCAAACACAATGAAGACCTTTCCCTCACCATAAAGCCAGTAACTATAGGAATAGCAAACCCTCTTGCTTCCTTCAGCTAACGACCTTGCCAGCTAAGCAAGTCAGCAATGATGCAAAGTTAAGAGACTTCATCGGTCCAGTCGGTATCACAAATTAAAACAAAGCAACTTCTTGATACTGTGTCACAAACACAGAGTAATTCAGAGCAAAGTGACTTTTAGGCCTTTTTTCCATCCTTCACAGACAGTTTCACTAGAAAGAATAATATCAGAGCTAGCTGATTTAATGACCCTTCATTTAAAGGCCACGGTTAGAGTGGGGTTTTTTTGTCGTCTTTGTAATTGGACTGTTCAACCACAGATAGTGTTACTATATCAATCATTGCATGAGTGAAAGGTGAATAAAAGCATTTACTGAACTGTCATATCCATGATAAAACAACAGATGCTGTCAGCTCTAAAGGGAATACATTAGCAGAAGTAAACCTGGAAGATAAAGACCTATTAGTCATAACATGCCTTTCAATCACTTATTTATGTTAGCAGTTCAGCTTTGAAATAAAGTGAACATAATCCTTATTTACAATAAATTAAGCTTACCTTTGCACTATGGTGTACCTTAAACAATGATGGCATATCGATTTTTTTTCCTCCAGAAACGCATTTACCTTCACCACACTCGTCGGTTTGCTTCCCTGAAAGCCTCCCTCCCCCTCCAGTTCTGTTAGTACAACCCTTTTGGACGTACAAACCCAACATCTCACATTTTCCCAGCATTCTACTTCACACTCGATAATGCGTTTGTTAAACTGATATATGGATCCTCAGGCCAAAGCAGTTAGGTTACTGCAGTGACTGGTTACCTCAGGACACTGTAGCAAACAGAAAGGCTGAATTGACTTGGAAACATCTGCTCCTTCCTTATTCCTGGAGACAAAGTCTGCTTAATAAAGGAAGGTAAAGATGTTACACGGCACACAGGGCAGTTCAAGAGCTGAATTATCCCAACGTGCCAGCGCGGTAACAGGACACAGTGATTTGCAGTAGCTGAGCACGTCAGCTTGGACCGGCCACCATAGGGGACTGCAGCTGAGACCCTGCCAGCCTTAAGCAGAGTGGAAGAATTACTTCAGCTGTCCCGAGAGCTAAATGTTTTTACATTCCCTTATGACATTTAGTTGTTTTGCAGCAACACGGCCTTGTTGCCTCATGTTCCACTTGTAATCTGCTATAACCCTTACATCCCTTACTAAAAGGGCTGCTGTCTTGCTTCTCTTCCCATTATGTGTTTGTGTAGTCAATTAGCCTTGCTTAGAAGCACTTGTCCCTATTGAATTTCTTCAATATGTCCAGATCATTTTGTATTCTAATCTTGTATTCCCATGTCCTTCCTTCCCATTTTATAGATCTGCAGTTTTAACAAGCACACTCCCTACTGCTCCGTTGAAGTGATTAACCAGGACTGGAACCAGAGACAGAACCGCACGCCACCCTGGATACCCTCCTCCAGCACTAGGCACTGACAGCAGCTCTGAGTACAGCTCACTGTAACTACGTGTATGGGTTTGAAATCTACTTTTAGTCGTCATGTGGGTCATGATCAACATCATGTCCTCCCAGTCTGCTTTGAAACTTCGTCTTCAAAATTAAAAGCCCAGCTTAAGATATTTGCTATTTTTGCTCAAACCATAAGACCATTACCTCGGTCATATGAGAAAATTAGCCTGTGATAACTCATTCTCTACAACCATGAACAAATGTAGCTCATTCTCTACAAACCTACTCTGGCCATTGCACTCTTTTACTTTTCTTCCAGGATATCTGCTGAAAAATTAGTTGCTAACATTATACATACCTAGACAAATGCAATTATCATTAGAATTGTATCCCATATTTTTTCAACCAAAAATACGCAGAGACCAGATTCTCCAATATTGCAATCAAAATAAGCTTTTTAGGTGCGGAGGAATGAGATGGCTAGAGGCGACCAGTCTGACTGGTGACCTGACGAGGCATTCTTAGTCAGAGCTTGTTAACAAAACGATTTAACTACACCTCGCCAAGCGCAGTGCTTTGCTTGCATTCAGGCTAATCACAGCTTTCTATCTCCAGCTGTTACACACTTCTGACCATTTGGCATAGCACACAGTAGAAAATAGTAGTATTTTTGAGAAGTCTGTTTGCTGTTAAATTAAGATGCTGGTGCCAATCTACGAAAGTAGTGCCTAACATGGATGCTGTCATAAACCAGAAAAATCGGCTTTCTGCCATAAAGTGGCTTGTGGCATTGTGGGATTCCTGTTGAATCTACTACTCTGTTTCACTAGGACACCCGACGAGTGGTTGTGTGGCTTCAGATGGGGAAGGGGCACCCAAAGCAAACCACCGTCCCCCTCCATCCTTCCTTCTAGTGCCCTCGTGGCTCCACAACAGCTCTGTTCCTGGTGCCAACAGTGACAACAAAAAGCACTGTAACACAAAGTAAGTGGGACTTTTTTTTTTTTTTTATTTTAAACATTTACAGAGATGGAAATAAATACAGGAAATAGAAGATAGAGAGGGTGCTTTTAAAAGAAATCAATCAAGTCTTCATCAGGCTTCAAACAGGAAAAATTGTATCCAATAGCTGCTTAAAACTGGCCACCATTTCAAAGGGCAAGGATTAGGCTGAACAATAATGTAAATAACTAAAGATAAGCATTACAATAAACAAGGGTGACAGAGCTGACATCAGTGAACACACAGCTGTAATAGACAAAATGGAACCACGCTACAACAGGAAAGTCTCATATATTTACAACATACCTATCATACAAAAAACATTTGGAAATATTTAGGGAGTGATTTCTTCTCTGTCCAGCTGTGAGATATAAAAGAAATACTGGAGGGTTTGTTGGTTTTGTTCCCCTCCCCGATATCTACAGAATAGTTTTAACTTTTGCCAAAGTTTAAAAAAAACTTTGTATTACAAGAATTTTTCATCCAACCTGAACTCTTCTGGGTTTCCATCCTTGCTTATCATCATCACCGTCATCCACCGGGGCAGTTTGTCAGAAGACAAAGAGTTTGTAAAGTTCTTTACAGTCTTTTATCGATGGTCTGACCTGTAGGTTGGAAAAGTGTCTGTGCGATGGAGCTTCACTGGGCTAGAAACATCTTTGCCGAGTCAGATGCAAAAAACAGAACAACACTCAGTAAGACATAGGCACCTTATTCAGCATTTTATAAAGGACTAGGTGAACTACAGATCACAGCCTTTTAATTAAACCTATCCCTGCTTAATCTGCTGCTCCATCTCAGAAACATCTCCACTCATTTTATTTCCCAGTCCCTTCAGAACAGAGAGTTGTATAAAGCAAATTAATTTTTTTTAAAGTTCTGACAGCATTTTAAATGAAAAATGCACTTTAGCTCACAATATTAGCATCAGTTCTTTTCTGTACATAAGGAAAGGGGAAAAGAGTCAATTCAGAAACCATAAATTCCAACTATGGTGGAAGAAAGTTTTTGCCTACAAGGTCTCAGACGCCTCTACCATTCAGTGAGTGAAATGCTGCTTCACACATACAGAATTATACAACTCAGTATTTATTTCGTATTTCTTTTTCCATTAGTAATTGAAGCATTTCAAGATTTTGGCAACCTAATCTAATTCAAGGTGCCTGGGGTACCACTGAAGTAGCCCTGACTGATGAACGAGACAAGGACTCCAGTGTCTTTCCTAATTACAATGCTGCATGGCTGGCTTATTTTTCAAAGACTTTTACTCCATCCTCATGGCAATAATCTCCTAGGTGGCTTTTTTTTTTTTTCCAGTTTAACAAGCCAGCTATTTTTCTAAATATAAAACAAGTGGTTTGTACCCATATAGTCTATTTATCTTGTGTCAGCTCAATGCTGAATTATTGGCTTAATAAAGGACTCTATAGTAAGGCACAGCGAGCCCAATCCACTGGCTGTGTCAGAGAGCTGCGAGCAGCCTGGTTCTGGTGTGCCACAGGCTGCCACCAGCAGGTCACCTTCCCATGCCCTAATTTATTGAACAAATTTAAACAGGCATCTAAGTGCTGCTTTTATCATTCATTCCTCCTCTGGAACATTTGCCGGGTTTAGCTGGGGCTTTTTATGTGCTGCCTGCCCCCTCTAGTGTTGAAAGAAGGCCCAGCGAGCCCAATCCACTGGCTGTGTCAGAGAGCTGCGAGCAGCCTGGTTCTGGTGTGCCACAGGCTGCCACCAGCAGGTCACCTTCCCATGCCCTAATTTATTGAACAAATTTAAACAGGCATCTAAGTGCTGCTTTTATCATTCATTCCTCCTCTGGAACATTTGCCGGGTTTAGCTGGGGCTTTTTATGTGCTGCCTGCCCCCTCTAGTGTTGAAAAAAGGAAAAAAGGAAAAAAAGTAGCTTTTGCTGAAAATCAGAGGCACAGAATGGAATGCGGCAATCTATGTCAGGGCTGCCAGAGCTTGTAATTTTTAATCACACCTTGTGATATGTCATGTTGTGGAGCTGCTAGCCTTACAGTTTCCAGCATTATCAAAAAAAGTAAAATAAATATCTCATGCGTTATTCCTTGAGAAACTCCTAATATCCGAGGGGAAGAAAAAAAGAAAGAAACAAACAAACAAACAAAAAGACTGCAAAACTTTTCCAGTCCAGGATGTTTTAACATATCTGTCTAGTGATTTCTGAATGCTTGCTGTTGGTAAATGATAACTCCATGTTAGTACTAGCAAGCCCTGCTAGCTCCTGAGGTTTTCTGCTAAACACAGGTTTCCCTGTGGGTTTTTTGCAGCAGGACGAGGCACCAGGAGCAGGGCTGCCCCTTGGAGCAGCACACGCCAGCCCCAGCCTTCAGGCATGACAGAGAAACTGCCCACATCCTGGTGACCCTAATGCCCCTGCAGGGGAGGGAAACTGCTTCAGTCCATCTTTATCATCCAGACATTTAATTAAGCTCAGCCTTTGTTCCATGTGTTGTGAAAATAAAGTTATGGCAGGTATTGCCTCCTTCCATTCAAAACTCCAGGCTATCCCCCTTCTGTTAAGTGTTTGGTCTGTTTTCCGCTGGCTTTTCTCAGTAATGCCCTGATCCTGACTTCACAGCTCATCGATACCAGCTTCTGTACAAACACTAACTCAGCCAATCCATGTAGCTTAGAGTGGAAGACTGGTTTTGGAAATACAAATGGGCTTTTTTTTTGTTTGTTTAACTCTAAAAACACACATGACTACCAGATGCTGACATTGGACCAAGGTACTGAGCAGCTGCAGCTCCTACTCCAGAGGTGCCTCTGGGGAAAGTGGCGCAAAGCAACAACCACATGCGGCAAGCGCTGCAATTCTCACTTTATCTCAGGAGACTGAAGTTCAGTGTTGAGACACGCTCTGAAATACGCAGGCAGAGACAGCTCACACATCAGCCCTCCCTTGAAGCCCCTGGTAGCCATCCGTCCTGCAGGTGCCCTGGGCTTCCTTTCCATCTCCCCATCCGTGTGCTCAGTAACCACTAGATGTCCCTTGGTGACCACTAGATGTCCCTTGGTGACCGCTCAGTAACCACTAGATGTCCCTTGGTGACCACGGAGGGACAACTGGGTGCAGAGACCTCCCTGGGGAACGATTCCTCCCTCTCAGCAGCCTGGGAGGTTTTCAGGCAGGAGGGGACTGAGCTGTGCGGCCCCTTGGCTGACAGCAAGGAGGGGATTTGGGGGAAGGCATCTGCCCATCTTCAGGCCACACTGTGATGCACGGTGGCAGCGCTGCAGCTGCTCAAGCAACAGTTTTCTAGAACTGCTTATTGCAGCCATTTCTTTTTACTTTCCCCCATTCAGCTGTTTTTGAGGGTGCAGTTGTTTAGGTTGAATGTTAGCAAGTACACAAAATGAATAATGAAGACTGCATCATTCTTGGCACGAGGCAGCCATCCAAAGGAGAGGGGAGCCAAATGGTTATAAGTCTGGCAAAAAAAATCAGGTGCCATTAAAAGAGTTTGGCAGCAGAAAGGATTGGGCAGCCTTGATCTGGCCATCCTGCAACAGGAATTTCTCATTATTTACCTAAAAATGGTTAGAAAACTTGTCAAATGCAGGCTCCCTCTCCAATGGGAAGTAAGAAGAGCACCTCCTGATGACAACCCTTCTGCCAAGTTGTCCATCTGAAGGTGGGATGTGCCCTTCACTCCATCAAACAGACAGCAGTGGCAGCTGGCTTAGACCGAAAGTCAGCCTTCAGAGAGATGGGCAGATACTGAAATGACTCAACAACGTCGTGATCTGGTTTGTGCATTGACTCTTTCTGCCCCAGCCCCTTACCTTGCAGACCGTAGAGCTGGCCAGTGCTGTGCTGTCGCGTGATGTGCTGCCAGTAGGCACTGCGGGGCAAGGGCACCATGGTGCTGAGGGACACGGCTCGCTCGCTCATTTTCATCTGAAGCTGCAAAGCAGTAAACTGATGTGAAGGAGACAGTCATGTTCATTGCAAACCCGCCGAGAATAGACGTCCTTGCAGGCACTGGTCATGCTAAAGACATTGCCAGCACAGCCTCTCCCTCCCTCCCTCTGCCCACCCTACA